ATTTTTTTATTTATTGTAGAGATGAGGTCTCGCTGCCCAGACAGGTCTCGAACCCGCGGGTTCAGGCAATTCACTCACCTCAGCCTCCCAAAGGCACGGGATTACAGGCTGAGCCACCGAGTCCGGCTAGAGAACCAGAAATTAACAAACAAAAAAAAGAGTACTAGTTGGAACAGAACTGCCTGCTCAGGGAAGGGACTGTGTTGGCATTGCTAGGAGCCTGAGGCCAGCTGTAAATTGGAAAACTGAGGCAGGTTCTGTATCTTACAGGGCAACTGAACTAGTTCCAGGACCCCTGGCAACCTGCAATATCAAAAGTAAATCCTTGCCTGACTCAGTGGCTCAAACCTGTAATCCTAGCACTTTGGGAGGCCAAGGCAAAAGGATTGCCTGAGCCCAGGAGTTCAAGACCAGCCTAGGCAACTTGGCGAGACCTCATCTCTACAGTAAATCAAAAAATTAGCCGGGCGTGGTGGCTCGCGCCTGTAGTTCCAACTACTTGGAAGGCTGAGGCGAAAGGATTGCCTGAGCCCAACAGGTTGAGGCTGCGGTGGCCATGAGCATGCCACTGCATTCCAGCCTGGGCAAAAGAGTGAGACTCCAACTCAAAAAAAGCCAAACAAACAAAAAGTACACCCTCCTCACAAGTCTCAGATCAATATCAAGTAAGGCCAGGCATGGTGGTTCACTCCTATAACCCAGTGCATTGGGACGCTGAGGCAAGAGGATTGCTTGAGCCCAGCAGGCGAGGCCTGGGCAACATAGTGAGACTTTGTTTCTACCAAAAAAAAAAAAAATTAGCCAGGTGTAGTGGCACATGCCTGTAGTTCCAGCTATTCCAGAGGTTAAAATGGAAAGATCGTTTGAGCCCAGGAGGTCAAGGCTGCAATGAGCTGAATCATGCCACTGCCCTCCAGTCTGGGTGACAAGGTGAGACCAGGACTCAAAAGAATAATAATAAGCTGGGCTCGGTGGCTCAGCCTGTAATCCCGCGCCTTTGGGAGGCTGAGGTGAGTGGATTGCCTGAGACCGCGGGTTCGAGACCCGCCTGGGCAAATTTG